TAATCCGTGGCCAGTACATCACCTCACGTGCTCTCCTTTTACATTTTTCCATGCCTAGATGCCCTGCGTGTATCTTTTTGAGCATCTCTCCTCGCAGGCTCTTTGGGATGACAATTTTACTTCCCTTTTGGATTCTCAGCGGACAGTCATTTAGTGGTTTTTGGAACAATGCTATCAGTGGCTTGTGGTCAGTTTCAACACTGATGGCCTGCCCGGACACAAACTGGTGAAATCTCTCACAGGCCTATGTTATGCTGAGCAATCTGTGCATATCTTGTCTTTGCGTCTGTCATGGATCGCGATGCATATGCAACAGGCTGCCACTCATCATACTTCTGCAGAAGAACAGCTCCAAGCCCACTCTGTGATGCATCTTAATAGGTCTCATTGGATCATAAAACTTCAGAACTGGTTCTTTTGTAAGCCGCTTTTTCAAGGCACGCCATGCTTTCTCATGTTCATGATTCCACTCCCATTTGATTCTCCTTTCAGTTAGCTGTCTCAGTTTCTGAGAGATTGGGTATGAATTTTCCCATGTAGTTTATCATGCCATTGAATCTCTGCACATCTTTCTTGCATTGCGGCCTCAGCATGTTTTCAATTGCAATGCCTTCACTGCTCAGGATATCTGCAACGAATGTCAGTTCCTTCGCCCCAAGCTGACATTTCTCTTTGTTCAGCTTCAGATTGGCTTTTCTGGTTGCTTCAAGAACATTTCTCAGTCTCATGTCATGTTCAGCTTTTGTGCTTCCCCACACAATGATGTCATCCATCGACGCGTCGACTCCTTCTAGGTGCTTATAGATCATGTGTATTGTCTTGTGATACACCTCAGGTGCTGAAGCAATGCCGAATGGCAGTCGCCGTAATCTGTTGCTGCCAAATGGGCTGTTGAACGTGCACAGTTTTGAACTTGCTTCGTCCAGCTTCAGTTGCCAAAATCCTGATGAAGTGTCTAGTTATTTGTCTGGTTATTTTTGTTACAGTTATTGCATCTCTTCCCATATGCTGGACATTTTTTAGGAGGATGTTGCAGTCCGCAGTGACCACAAGTCTTTTCTTTTCTGTCCCTGTTTGCTGGCTTTAATTGCATTTTTATTTCAGCAGCAGCACTCTCCTTATTGACTCTGTGTGTGTTCTTATTGACAGCATCCACTCTGCAGCTGTCACTAAGCAGTTCTTTAGCTTGTGCCCTCACTGTTTCAGCTGCTCTGCACAGTGTTAATGCTTTTTCCAGGTCAAGATTTTCCTCTCTCAGTAGCCTCTCTCTCAGACCGTTGTCTGGAGTCGCGCACACAAGTCTGTGTTTTATCAAAGAGTCTGTCAGTCCTCCAAATTCACATGTTTTACTCCTGTTCTGCAGCTCTGTGACATACTGATCTATTGTCTCCCCTGTCTTCTGTACACATGTGAAGAATCTGTGCCTCTCAATTGTCACATTTCGAGCAGATCCCTCAGTACTGCTATATTTTAGTCCACTACCTTTCTTCAAGTCCATCTTCTGACACCATGTCTTGTTTCTTTATGTTGTTGTGGGTTCTCAATAATGACACCGTTACTTGAAGAGAAGGTATTTTATCGAACTGCAGTTCACATATAAACAAACTTCACATCACAGTCCGCTCAGAGGTAACTCACTCTAGCTCTCTAGCTCCCCCTATAGTCTGGGTGTATTAACAACATAAAACCTGATACTAAGCAAATATGGATTTGCTGTTGTCATTACGCCAACAGCTTTCATTTAAAATGTACTCACAGACTGACGATTGTTGGGCTACATTCCAACTACATGGAATCTGTGCAAGGAAGTTTTAGTTTTAGTGAAGAGGAAATTCATTTTGCATGGGTAAAACGCGCATG